GGCTCATCAATGTCATTTCCAAAACAGTGGACCAATCAGAAGAGCCCGGAGGCGGGGCAAGCGTTGCTTACAGTAGTTACAGTTTTATTTGATGGCAACATGGCGGACGAGGCTTTCTGTGCTGTGCTTTTTTAAAACAATTCCTGAGCGCTTGCGAACACAAACATGCGTTCTGTGTGAACAGCCACTAATGCTGCATCTACAGCATTAGGGGTCACGACCCCGTCAGCAGCACGAAAACATATGATCTAACGTTACTGTGTGCATCGTCACAGAGCCTCTCTGGGTGCTGAGATACATGTGAAGAGTTCATTTGCAAAAATGGATAACTCCGTTTTTAACAATTTTCAAAAATCAGGTTTTTTCTTTGTGCATTCCAATTAATCTCAATCAAATTGCAGTTGGGTTATTTCAATTAGGTAAAAAATAACTAAGAAATACAGCTAACTAACACAATAAAACACAATAAAAGCATGATAGCATAATAAAAAACACGATTTGTAAAAAATTTATTTTGAGTTATCGGTTTTTGCAAATTAACTCTTCATGTGTAAGGGGCGTTCACATAGAACGCGTTTTTCCATTCCAGTGCGCTACTTTTCCATTGTTTTTCTATGTAAACACTCATGTCTTTCGCAGATGTTTCAGAACCCTTTAAAATATCAAGAAGAATAAACAAAAAACAGTAAGACTTCAGTACAATAACACAATAACAACAATCACTATTTTTACACAATTAGCCATGCAAGCACACGAAGCAACAACACACAACCTTCAGTAGGTATATGCAAGCATGCTGGAAAAACATTAACCATACATGAAGCACAACAGACACAATTATGGGTTACTAAAATAACACACACCTAAATTGTATTACAGCACTATATACAAAAGCATACCAGACAATTAATGAAATACTAATAAAATAATCCAAACATACCCAAAACATACACTTGGCCGCCTGACAGCGAGCAAAGGACATGGAACATGTTAACTGCGGGTTAAATAACATCAACAGTCATAGTAGATTGAGTAGAAACCATTCCTGAGTGCTGTGTCTCGTGAGCAAAACAATCATGCACATGGAAAAGTACCACATTGGAATGGAAAAACACCTTCTGTGTGAACGGCCCCTAAGGGTCTTTGCCTCTAAAAATGCGAGACGAACCACTCAGGAAAAAAAGGTAAAAAAAAAAAGCCATGTTGCCATCATAGTTGCCATGGCAACTTGCTATTTTAAACAAAATGTCGTAAAAGTAGCACATCGGAATGGAAAAACGCGTTCTGTGTGAACGGCCCCAAGTGTGTCATTCTAGAACTACAATCAGAGTGTTAACTTTACATTCAGGTTATATGAGTCTGTTTGTGAGCGGCTGGTGTTTTGCTCCTTTAGGAGATATGAGCAGCTGTGGAGATCCAAAAAACCTCAGTAGTGAAACCGAGCGGACCCGTCTGCCACTAAATATAGATCTACAGCATCATCCAGCTGCTCCCGGACCTGCAGCTCCTCTCTGATGTGTCCAAACCCCCGACCAGAGACCTGAATGAAAGCAGATGGCTGCAGGGCCGAGCAGAACAGACCCTTCGAGAGAGATGTTCTGTCAGTGGCCGGGGTTAGGTGTTACATCAGGACACATCAGTCAGGATCTGAACCTGCGTTTGACCATAAGTGGGCATCAGAGCTCCTCAATCGGCTTCAGTATGATCTCCGTCTGTAGAGATGCCAGCTTCAATCAGACGTCAAACGCGTTTGTTTCAGGAGCACATCAGGACACGTTTGTCTGTAATTACAAGATACATGCGAACATCCATCACTCACGCTGACAGCAGATCTTGTGTAACTTCGCTTCAGATTTGACTCACTGCAGCGTTGACGAGATTCAGTTAAAAGACAGACAGTTAACATGAACATGATGAAAAGTCTGCTTTAGATTGACACGATTCATGACGGACCAATCAGATAGATAGATAGATGGATGGATGGATGGATGGATGGATGGGTGGGTGGATGGATGGATGGATGGGTGGGTGGATGGGTGAATGGATGGATAGATGGGTGGATGGATGGATGGCTGGATGGGTGGATGGATGGGTGGGTGGATGGGTGGATGGATGAGTGGGTGGATGGATGGATGGGTGGATGGACGGATGGATGGATGGATGGATGGATGGGCGGATGGATGAATGGGCAGACGGTGGATGGATGGGTGGATGGATGGATAGATGGGTGGGTGGGGATGGATGGATAGATGGGTGGGTGGATGGATGGATGGGTGGATGGATGGATGGATATATAGACAGACAAGTGGATAGACAGGCAGACTGTGTCACAGCAGAGAGAGTTCCAGGCGTGTGGTCAGATAATCATCATGTGTTTGAGCCCTAAACGCTTGTCTAGCACATCAACATGATAAACACAGCAGCACTCCAGTTCATCAGCGTCAGCAGTGCTGGAAAATCCACTCTGACGGCCGGAGTGCTGGAATCTCACACCGGAGCACTTGGGAATCGCCCCCCTCCGTCTGTTTCACTATTACTCCGTCTGTTTTTACTCTCTCGTCTACCTGTCGGCCAGCGCTTGCGGTAAATGAAAGCGTGTTGTGAAAGCTGTTACAGACGTGTGAGTCTGCAGCGTTTGCCTCTAACCCTTTCAGACCGGAAGAGCGACTCATTTCAAAGTTAAAGCGTTTATTGGCACAGTGATTTACAGTTTCCCTGTACAAAGAAATTCTTTCTTTGCTGTCCACAGTGGATGCCAAGACAAGTGCAAAAACTATGTAAAAATTAAAAAATAAAACACACACATATACACGCAAACATAATAAAAAATAAAACTATGCTAGTAGAAATATAGACTGTAAATATAGAAATATGTGACCCTGGAGCACAAAACCAGTCATTTAAATTGAGATTGCTGAGTAAATAAGCTTTCCATTGATGTATGGTTTGTTAGGATAGGACAATATTTGGCTGAGATACAACTATTTGAAAATCTGGAATCTGAGGGTGCAAAAAAATCAAAATATTGAGAAAATCATCTTTAAAGTTGTTCAAATTAAGTACTTAGCAATGCATATTACTAATCACAAATAAAATTTTGATATATTTACGGTATTAAATTTACAAAATATCTTCATGGAACATGATCTTTACTTAATATCCTAATGATTTTTGGCATAAAAGAAAAATCTATAATTTTGACCCATACAATGTATTGTTGGCTATTGCTACAAATATACCCCAGCGACTTAAGACTGCTTTTGTGCTGCAGGGTCACATATAGACTATGTACATCTGTATGTGCAAGTACAGTAACGTGTGCAAATTGAATGCAACTACATGATAATAATAGCAGCAGTAACATTAATGATGTGCAAATGAGATGAAGCGATTCAGTCACCTATTCTATGAGATAGATGAGACTGGTCTGTGTCCTCTGGCTACCTGTTTAAAAGTCTAATGGCTGAGGGAAAGAAGGTGTTCCTTAATCTGGAAGTCATTTGAGCAGATGCTGGAGTGAATCGAGCCCTCATTAGTGTGCACTGCATCTGTTCTCATTTAAACCAATAGTTTCACTCGTGTTTTGACTTTCGTCGTGTGTCAGGTTCTGCTGTGACTGCGACCTGCTCAGACATCATTGTGTGTCGGGTGTGTGACGCAGCGGGATGCTCTTCCGGACGGTTTGTCTGGGAATGTCGAGGGATGTGGTGATGCCCTTCAGATGGAGACGGATAATTGGCCGGTCGTCTCTCGTAGAGGAAACACTGCTGTGTTCAGCCAAACCTGCCCTCATAAGGGCACTTTCTGTGTGTGTGTGAGTGTGTGTGTGTGTGTGTGTGTGAGTGCGTGTGTGTGTGTGAGTGCGTGTGTGAGTGTGTGTGTGTAAGAGTGTTTTCTGGGGAATTCCTCAGCGGTGATGCACATTTGAATGGAAAGACACACAAATATGTGCACTTATTTTTATATACACTACCGTTGAAATAATTCTCAAATGTTTCTGAAAGAAGTCTCTTGTGCTCACCACGGCTGCATTTATATGATCAAAAATACAGTAAAAAATGTGAAATATTATTACAGTTTAAAATAGCTGTTTTCAATGTATTGTAAAATGTAATGTATTTCTGTGATGTGCAGCTGTATTTTCAGCATCATTACTCCAGTCTTCAGTGTCACATGATCTTCAGAAATCATTCTAATATGCTGATTTGCTGCTCAAGAAACATTTCTGATTATTATCAATGTTGAAAACATTTATATTTTTGTGGAAACTGTGATGTATTTTATTTTTCAGGATTTTTGATTAAAAAAAGTAAAAAAAAAAATTTTTGTAACATTATAAATGTCTCTATGTCACTTTTGATCAATTTAATGCAGACTTAATGAATAAAAGTGTTATTATATATTCTATGTATTTTTTAAATCTTACTGACCACAAACTTTTGAATGGTAGTGTAATTTTTATTTTATTTTGTATATATAATTTTATTCATATATACGTTTTTGTGGGTGGAATGCAGTAAAAGTGAGAGTAATCTCACACAACACTAAATAATCTATTTGTGCTGGAAATAGCATGCGTTTATGCAGAATGTAATTGTGTGTTTAAGGACATGACGGGTTTAGTCTTCACGAGATAATGTTCAGTGATAATGTGCTTTATCTGTTTTGTGAAAGCGTAGCGTCATGCTCGACTGTTGAAAAAGAGAAATGAGTTGATCTTTGTGCTCCAGCCTCATGAGGCCTCAGAGAAACGGCTCTGTGTGTGTGTGTGTGTGTGTGTGTTGTGTGTGTGTGTGAGTGTGTGTGTGTATGTGAGTGAGTGTGTGTGTGTATGTGAGTGTGTGTGTGTGTGTGTGAGTGTGTGTGTGTGTGTTGGTGTTCTCCAGGAGTCACTGGGCGTCTGTCTGTGGCGGTGACTCGTTTCCTCACATGGCTTGCCCAGAACATTCCAGTCACGATAAAACCACATGAGCCTAAAATACCTCTGCTCTCTCCTGCAGCTGCCCACTGCATCACTCCCAGTGGTGGTGAAGATGGGACACGCCCACTCCGGCATGGGCAAGGTAGGAGCCGATGATGTCATCACACACACTGCACTCTGATTGGGCCGCCTGTGAAGTGTGTGTGTGTGTGTGTGTGTGTGTGCGTGTTTAAGTGTGTGTGCGTGTTTAAGTGTGTGTGCGTGTTTAAGTGTGTGTGCGTGTTTAAGTGTGTGTGCGTGTTTAAGTGTGTGTGCGTGTTTAAGTGTGTGTGCGTGTTTAAGTGTGTGTGCGTGTTTAAGTGTGTGTGCGTGTTTAAGTGTGTGTGCGTGTTTAAGTGTGTGTGCGTGTTTAAGTGTGTGTGCGTGTTTAAGTGTGTGTGCGTGTTTAAGTGTGTGTGCGTGTTTAAGTGTGTGTGCGTGTTTAAGTGTGTGTGCGTGTTTAAGTGTGTGTGCGTGTTTAAGTGTGTGTGCGTGTTTAAGTGTGTGTGCGTGTTTAAGTGTGTGTGCGTGTTTAAGTGTGTGTGCGTGTTTAAGTGTGTGTGCGTGTTTAAGTGTGTGTGCGTGTTTAAGTGTGTGTGCGTGTTTAAGTGTGTGTGCGTGTTTAAGTGTGTGTGCGTGTTTAAGTGTGTGTGCGTGTTTAAGTGTGTGTGCGTGTTTAAGTGTGTGTGCGTGTTTAAGTGTGTGTGCGTGTTTAAGTGTGTGTGCGTGTTTAAGTGTGTGTGCGTGTTTAAGTGTGTGTGCGTGTTTAAGTGTGTGTGCGTGTTTAAGTGTGTGTGCGTGTTTAAGTGTGTGTGCGTGTTTAAGTGTGTGTGCGTGTTTAAGTGTGTGTGCGTGTTTAAGTGTGTGTGCGTGTTTAAGTGTGTGTGCGTGTTTAAGTGTGTGTGCGTGTTTAAGTGTGTGTGCGTGTTTAAGTGTGTGTGCGTGTTTAAGTGTGTGTGCGTGTTTAAGTGTGTGTGCGTGTTTAAGTGTGTGTGCGTGTTTAAGTGTGTGTGCGTGTTTAAGTGTGTGTGCGTGTTTAAGTGTGTGTGCGTGTTTAAGTGTGTGTGCGTGTTTAAGTGTGTGTGCGTGTTTAAGTGTGTGTGCGTGTTTAAGTGTGTGTGCGTGTTTAAGTGTGTGTGCGTGTTTAAGTGTGTGTGCGTGTTTAAGTGTGTGTGCGTGTTTAAGTGTGTGTGCGTGTTTAAGTGTGTGTGCGTGTTTAAGTGTGTGTGCGTGTTTAAGTGTGTGTGCGTGTTTAAGTGTGTGTGCGTGTTTAAGTGTGTGTGCGTGTTTAAGTGTGTGTGCGTGTTTAAGTGTGTGTGCGTGTTTAAGTGTGTGTGCGTGTTTAAGTGTGTGTGCGTGTTTAAGTGTGTGTGCGTGTTTAAGTGTGTGTGCGTGTTTAAGTGTGTGTGCGTGTTTAAGTGTGTGTGCGTGTTTAAGTGTGTGTGCGTGTTTAAGTGTGTGTGCGTGTTTAAGTGTGTGTGCGTGTTTAAGTGTGTGTGCGTGTTTAAGTGTGTGTGCGTGTTTAAGTGTGTGTGCGTGTTTAAGTGTGTGTGCGTGTTTAAGTGTGTGTGCGTGTTTAAGTGTGTGTGCGTGTTTAAGTGTGTGTGCGTGTTTAAGTGTGTGTGCGTGTTTAAGTGTGTGTGCGTGTTTAAGTGTGTGTGCGTGTTTAAGTGTGTGTGCGTGTTTAAGTGTGTGTGCGTGTTTAAGTGTGTGTGCGTGTTTAAGTGTGTGTGCGTGTTTAAGTGTGTGTGCGTGTTTAAGTGTGTGTGCGTGTTTAAGTGTGTGTGCGTGTTTAAGTGTGTGTGCGTGTTTAAGTGTGTGTGCGTGTTTAAGTGTGTGTGCGTGTTTAAGTGTGTGTGCGTGTTTAAGTGTGTGTGCGTGTTTAAGTGTGTGTGCGTGTTTAAGTGTGTGTGCGTGTTTAAGTGTGTGTGCGTGTTTAAGTGTGTGTGCGTGTTTAAGTGTGTGTGCGTGTTTAAGTGTGTGTGCGTGTTTAAGTGTGTGTGCGTGTTTAAGTGTGTGTGCGTGTTTAAGTGTGTGTGCGTGTTTAAGTGTGTGTGCGTGTTTAAGTGTGTGTGCGTGTTTAAGTGTGTGTGCGTGTTTAAGTGTGTGTGCGTGTTTAAGTGTGTGTGCGTGTTTAAGTGTGTGTGCGTGTTTAAGTGTGTGTGCGTGTTTAAGTGTGTGTGCGTGTTTAAGTGTGTGTGCGTGTTTAAGTGTGTGTGCGTGTTTAAGTGTGTGTGCGTGTTTAAGTGTGTGTGCGTGTTTAAGTGTGTGTGCGTGTTTAAGTGTGTGTGCGTGTTTAAGTGTGTGTGCGTGTTTAAGTGTGTGTGCGTGTTTAAGTGTGTGTGCGTGTTTAAGTGTGTGTGCGTGTTTAAGTGTGTGTGTGTGTTTGTGTGCATGTTTAAGTGTGTGTGTGTGTGTGTGTGTGAGAGCGAGTATGTGTGTGTGTGTGTGTGTGTGTGTGTGTGTGTGTGTTAAGGGTGGAGGTCTGTTCCTCTCATGATCTCAGATCAGTATCTCTGAGGTCTGGGTGGAGGTTATGATGGGGCTTTCCAGAATCTAGAGTGAACTTTCGTTTCACAATCACGTCTTCATCTCATCACTCGTTTGTTTTCATCAGTCATCAGATGTGTAACTGACTGGCTGTAATTCAGCGGCTCTTAATCTGATCCTCAGTGCATCTTACCATTTATTTACAAAGTCTGATACATTAGATTTTTCAGGATTCTTTGAAAGTTCAAAAGAACAGCATTTATTTGAAATAGAAATCTTTTGTAACATAATAAATGTCTTTACTGTCACTTTTGATCTATTAGATGTGTCCTTGATGAACAAAAGCATTAGTTTTTTATTTTAAAAAATCCTATTTACTTGAAACTTTTAAATGGTAATGTATCACAGTGTCCATGTATAACGTATTTTCAACATTGCTAATAATCAGAAATGTTTCTCGAGGAGCAAATCAGCATTTTAGAATTTATATTATCATATTAGTGTATTGTTTTAAAGTACATTGCTTCCATAATGTTTTTTCTAAGTATGCTAAAGTGAACTTTTTCTGAAAGGTTGTTTTCACTGAATGCGTCATTCTGTTGCTCCAGTTGGATTGTGGGTAATGTTTGACCTGTGACGTGTGTTTGTGTGGCAGATAAAGGTGGAGACAGCGAATGATATCCAGGACATCACCAGTGTGGTGGCCATCGCTAAAACCTACGCCACGGCCAAGCCTTTCGTCCACTCCAAATACAACATCCGCATCCAGAAGATCGGCAGCAACTACAAAGCCTACATGTGAGAGCATGTGTGTGTGTGAGTGTGTGTGTGTGTGAGTGTGTGTTTGTGTGAGTGCATGTTTGTGTGTGTGTGTGTGTGTTTG